TGTAACTACAATTCCAAGTAAATCTTTCTGATTGTTAGTATTCATCCATAAGGAATTGCTCATTAGTTTAACCCTGTTTATATCACGGTTGTTTGACGATTACTCTCTTTCCTGTTCTGTTAAATTCTTGTGTTCAAAATAATGATAATCATAATTAGTTATTATGTGCCGTCATTTAATATAACAGTGGCACCTTGCCTCGTAATGCGTTATTATTTAGTTTGAGAATGAGAATAGTGCATTTTGCAGAAATGGTACTAAACCGGTGAATTTGTTGCACTTATGTAATATGATCGTGGCTTTTTAGTAGTTTACTTATTAATGCTATTGAATAACTTTATTCGTTATCACTTTTTAGCGCAGTACTACACTGTGTGAAACTGATATACCGATATACTGTGATAGTAATAAGGCGGTTATGCAAATGTAGCAGTCCACCGATCGGGTCTACTGTGGTAAGGGTTTATTACCCATTCCGAATTACTTTGCAAATACTGAACAGCAAAAGCTATATTCAACGACGGACAGGCTTATTTATGAATGCCTTTTCGAACGCTAGAACTAATCTACAATTACAGCCAGCACAATTCCCACCTGGCGTTGTCATGACCAGTCCGCGCCACCGGTCATTCGAAGATGATACCGTGAGAACTGTCATCACTGAGTGTTGACGTCCATCATTCGGAGTTGCGATGGAAGATTTTTTGATTGGGTTGCGCCATTCACGAACCGGATCCATCCTCTAAGCACATATCGTATCAATGACCGCTCTTTGAAATATATCGTTGGCAAAATTAATAAATAAATATTTTACAAATAAAATAATGCATTTAATTCTGTCCAGCGAGTGGTTCATTGGATTGTATCTAAAGACTTTCTAGATATATCTGCGAGTAAAGTTTGGTTCTAATGGAATCACTTGCTGCAGCGGAATGACTTTCAGACAAAGGGCCATTTGCTGTAGATGGCTTCAGGCCAACCATATTTGCTTTTCTTGAAGAAGGATGATCTGGAGGTACTTTGCGAATTGTCACTGTAGGTCAATCAGCCGACACAGACTACTGTACTGTGTTGTCCGCAGTAAATCATTTGCCATATGACTACCAACACATGAACAAAACACTAAATGTGATTAATGTATTTCCTGTCCCGTACGAAATTGAAACCTTATTAATGTACCTTTACGTAGTAAAAGTAAAGCGAAACCTGTAAACCATAACCAGCACGGGGGCATTGGTACAGTACGTAAATAGTCTAATTTGCACTGTACAAGTGCCGGGTTCAAATTCCATGCACAGCAGAAATTTATTTACTTACTGAAGGTTTAGTTCCTCAGACCAGTGATTCACCATTTTCTGCATCGGTGCAACCAACTGAGGAAAAACCATAGAATAAATATGAAAGTTATTTTAGCTTTATTAATTTTGTTCGACCTAATAAAGTGGTGCTCTTTTACGCCTATGCACTACAGTTATTCAAATACCATAGAGCCATGACATGTTTAAATGATCCCCAAAGCAGCTAGATGCAAGGGCATGTTTCGTCTACGCCGTATAAATCCAAAAAAGTGACAGGGATTGTGTCAATTTCTGTGCGTTGTTTAACCAAATAGTTCATTTAAAAAAAGTAAATATCAGCTGTCATTTAGTTGAATCGACACCTGGATTTTATGCAGTCGATTGCTAACCTTTGCCTTCGTCATTTGCGTTTGATCGTTTACGACGTCATTTTTGACACACTTTTTTCTTATTTAGCTATCGGTTTCAATGTAGAGCAAATAGTGTACAAAAATCTCAAGTTTCAAGTGTGGGATCTCGGAGGGCAAACAAGTATAAGGTTTTACCTCCGTGTCGTGTCTGTTTTACAAATTTTTCATAGCATCTTTTAGGCCTTATTGGCGTTGCTATTATTCGAATACCGATGCTGTCATTTACGTAGTGGATTCCGCTGATCGTGATCGCATAGGAATATCGAAACAGGAGTTGGTTTCAATGCTGGAAGTAAAGCTTCTCATTTTAAGTTTTAAAACCATTTTTCCTTCATCACACATTTTTCCCAGTTTTCTTTAATACTTAATACTTGGCATGGGACTTCATCCTTTTTTTTCAGAACGGGCAGGACGTCATTTTGGGGGGCAGTATAGAAGGAGATCCCTCATCTACGAATCTTGTCCGTGTGTCTTCTTTAAACTAAAATTTACCCCTGTTGTTCTAGGAGGAAGAAATCAAGAACGCTATTCTCGTTGTCTTAGCCAATAAACAAGATATTCCGGGGTGTTTGTCTGTGACGGAGGTGCACAGCGCCCTTGGATTAGAAGCTTTGAAGAACAGAATATTCCAGATTTTTAAAACTTCTGCAGTTAAAGGCGAAGGCCTTGAGGAAGCTATGGACTGGTAAGATGCCGTTTATCTTTCTCACATAATGCTGCTTTAGTAAGATTTATGTAAAATGCGAGGCAGTTATATTGACGTTATTTACTATGTTTCAGTCCTTTAATACAATTTTTGCCATGTTTTCTGTAGTGCATCTTTTACTTCTGGCATGTGGGCTCGTTCCTTTGGTTATTTTCTTGAGAAGTCAGTTTTAATTTGATACCGTTAGCGTACATGCATCAGTGTCTGCCATAAATATCCTATCCCTCCATTCCTTTTCACTTATTGCATGGCAGAAAATTTTATTCTATTTTAAAAATAGGATATATTAGTACTGAATATGACACTGTCTCTTTAGCGGAACTTTCCGGTTTATGGAAGGTCTTAACGATTAGGAAGAGTATAGTCAGATGTTTTGTCATGTGATGCCACTCTTATTTGGTAGTTACACACTTTTTGACATTGTGAATGGTAAGAATCATGACGAGCACATTTTTTGATCGTCTTTGTCATATCGGTTAGAAAGACTAAGAATTCTAGCTTCTATACAGTGTAAAATATCTCTACGGCTGGCCTAGAAAGAGAAATGATAAAATAAAATATTTCCTTCCTGTACAGTCCGCAAATGCTGCTGATGACGAACCTAGTTTGCGCTCTGGAAATGTTACTACATTTACGTGTTTTTTCTCTTCAACAATCTTTTTAAATAATAATGCTCTGCTCTCGTAATTCAGGTCCAACATAGACCGAAAATTGTGATGTAAAATCTTGAGAAGCTTCTCTCATTTTTGAGCCTTTGAGGAAACAGTAAAGAGGTTGAATGCTGGCATGTCACAGAATACTCTTTTGAAACAGCTGCGAAGTTTTCTTCTGAAATAAGGTACAGTTTGTTTGTCACATTGCGATTAACATCAGCGCTGCAACATACATTCTATGACACTAGATTACCTCAATAGACGTGTGATGGAAGATTCAACGAAAAGTAAAAGCACATAATAGCAACTGTTTTTCGTCAAAACTTAGCACATTATTTTGGTTTGCATTTGCACAAGCAATTGTGGGATGCAATTCCGCCATATTTTGAGCGAGGATTGTTTTGTAGACGGCGTACAGTATTTGGAGTGAAAACTTGCGGAAATTTTGAAGCACAAGTTTGAATCCCTCACCTTAGGTCTCTGCCCTCCAGATGTAAGACGTTCTTTCTCCTGCTTGTACATAGACGATATCTTCTACTTCTCTAAACAGCATAAAGAACCTCCTTTTGCCCTACTGAATTTTTTAAACGGTGTTGACGATGAGACAAGGACATTTGGAGTTCATAGTCAAAAATGAACATAATGACACACTTTCTTTCCTGGATATCAAGATAAAGAGAGACTGCGAAGAATTCTGTCAAAATAATATTTCATGTTTTTGATTCTGGTCCCATAGTTATATAGATAGGTGTTTGAACGATTCGTGATTCAGAGCACCAAATACAACGTTTCGCTGCATAGACCGTGGCATCATAAGGGCTAAGCTAAGTACAAATGACCGTTTGAAGGCATTCACGCCCAACAAACAAACAGTTCTTTAAAACAAGGTGTTATTAAACTGACCAGCTCGAATATTAATTAGCAAATAGTGTGAAGTTATCATCATTGTGTGTGATGATAGTTATCATCATTCTTAATAGGCGGATCCGCCGTTATTTTAACATCTGATGCAACCTTCACAAATAAGGAATTAAATTTCAGCGATTTTTCAGCTAGTTGGAATTTCATTCTTAATTATTTAGTTTTTAATGTTTAATGTCCTACCTACTTTCCTACCTTATGGCGTATTTCTTCATTACAGTACTTTAATTATTTACTTGCTAATCATTCTTATTCGCGACTACTATATCTCCTTTGTATGTCATAAATTTGTGCTGTAAAAAAGAACAGCATTATGTTTGGGTCTGTTAAAACTGAGTATAAAATACACGCCCATTTTAAAGAATAAAAAATTACATTAGGACAGTATTTTTTGTGAAATGCTGTGGTCATATTTGGAAACAGGAAGAATAACCTGAATTTAGTCGAAATGTATTTTATTGTGCGCCATTACCAAAACAATTCTTTTTAAGCCATCTCTTATTTTAATTTACATATGAATCAACAACGATTTTCGAAGCCTTAATAATAAGCCATTTTTGAAAATCTGGTACATGAAACCATTTTGTGAAAAATATTTGAACCTGTGTTGATTGCTTGATGTGTTTCTAAGTAAGTTAGTTGTTGACTCATTGAAGATTTATTCAAAATTTCACCTTCATAGGGGGATTATGGTAAAAAATATTGTCTTTGTCCTATGTACAGTTCTAGTCATTTTTATATTAGTCTACGAACAAGACTCTGTGGCTGGGTAGTTCGTTACTTTAAATTGTAGGCTGTCGAATGCCTTGCAGCAACGGAACTGAACGTTCTCAAATGAAATTTCATTCGCGGATCATGTTTGCCTATTGTATCAATTCAAATGGGGTCGATCCGAATTTTAGGGAATACGTTATTATTCAAGAGATGCGAAGCCGAATGTTTGCATTCTTCTGATTTGATCCGATTGTATTCACAAGTGTACGGTTTTTGTTCGGTCAAACTCTGTGATAAACGGTCAACGTCTAATTAGCTAAGGTGACGATTTGCTTATATCTACGTCCGTTCTCGAAGGTTACGTTTTTGCTGTACCGTTGTCGCGTTGTTCAAGTTGATTTATGTGCATATTATGATCATAAGTTTGTTTCGATTGTGATATTTTGTTTTTCTTTATTATGTTAGTATAATATGAAACAAATTAGAATTTTTGGATTGTTCTGCTGTTGTTGCGGTTTAGGTTCTTTTAACATGTACTTATTATTTTTTCAAATTAATCTTAATTGGTTGGCCGTATTATTATGACTAGCCATTAGCTGAAAAAGCCTGCGATGGCGCTCTTGATACAAGATATTAGTTTTCTACTTCGATTTTTGGGTTCGAATACCAAAAAATTTCTTTAATTAATAATTTTCTTGCGAAAGAAAATCGTCCGACTTTGCTTCCATCCAAAAAACGGGTAGCAAGTCGTAGAGTTGTGAACAATATCGAAAGCATGTTCTCGAGTAATCATACCAGAATGTGAGAGATGTCATGCTACTTGAAGGGAGCATCTTACGGATACCTTGACCAGTCTGATAGCTGCCGGTCTGAAAGCGTAATAAACACAGGGCATAAACCCTGTTTGAAATCATTTTTATCGTAGCAGTAATAGAGGGCGTTGTTTAAGCGTATCGTAGTTTTCAGTATCAGTTGAAATCTACTAATTTGACAAGGGCATGGAAACAAGGAAGTTGACAGTTTTATTCATGTACAATAACTGATTTTAAAAGATCATACAACGGGATTGACATTGTTTTTGAGCTTC